ATTTAAAATAATTGCAAGAAAAAATTTGAAGGACTCTGACAAAAACCAAATGTGCAAAATTTTTACGTTAAGATTTTGATTCAATTTGTGCCTTTTCACATATTGTACTTTCTTTGAAGAGGGTCTTTTAACATCTTTAAACAGTTCTTTTATGATCAATTTTACCGAAAAATTATTTGGCCAAATTTTTTAAATGAATTTTTTGTCATATTATTTTAAACATCGTCTATAGAAGCGTGAAATAACCCAAATTTTGTTGACATATGCACGGGCATAAATTTTGTTGTTAGAACACGGACAAATCGAATATTATATAATAATTTTAAATAAAGATTTTATGGCGAGAGGCAATGATCAGTCTTGCCTTGTTGTCCCAGTAACAGATGCTGTGCAACAAAAAATACTGATTTTTCAAACTGATTCTTGCAAAACATTTAAGATTCTATTTATAATTCCGTTATAATATTATGTAATAAGATTTGATTTTTATTTTATTTATTTTATTTTATTATTTATTGCACGGCGATAAAAAATTATTATACAATTTTCAACTAGAGTTGAGCTTATTGCAATAATTAATAGTAAAATTAATTCATTTATTTATTTTAATTTTTTAAGATCTTTTGTATGTCAAGAACGAAAATTAAAGAAATAAGAATTTTTTTAATTATTAATTCTGTTATTTTAAAAAAAAAGTGGAATTGAAAATGACGAGATATTATTTAAAGAGTAAAATTATTGATATCGTAAAAAGTAGCAACTCAAAGGCAGTGCATTTAATTTTACATTTACTAAAAATAGTATAATGGCATTTTGAACTTTTAAAAAATATTTAGTGCAATTTCCTAAATGCAATTTCTTTTACTAAATTATTAATTGAACTTTTCAAATTGATTAAAATTTCATCTCAAAAAATCAAAAATTGTGAATGACAGACAACCAATGATTTTGTACCACACAAGAACGTACACATATCGCGATATCGTAAAATATATCAACATATAAGTGAACATGCGAATGTATTTATGAATTATATTTTGAGAACTGAAAGGTAATTTTTATACGATCATATTTAAAACAATAGCGTAAATAGTTATTAAAATTTTTTTTTTTCTAAAAAAAATTCATCCTCTCTGGGAGCGCAAAATTCATTTCGTTCTGATGATAGCGATAATTTTTTTTTTTGTGAATGGTGAATCTTGAATTTATTTTTATGATGTGATTTTTTAGCTTTTGTTTTTCTTTGTTACTTATGTTATTTATTGTTGTTATAATAGTTTAATGTACTTATAAAATCTGAAGAAAAAACCAATATAGGAAGACAATAATGAAAACATAAGTAATAATACCGCGCTGAACCTGTTGCTGATGCGAAACTTGTTTTAGTGTGATGTTTTTATTGCATGTAGTTTGGAGCTTTTTCTTCAAGTTTTTGTTTTTTTTTTTATCTTCATTTTAATAGTTATAAGTAGTATATCTCATGAAATTTATATAAAGATAACGGTACAATGTAAATGCATACATACAAATGCAAAAATGAGTTGCAATTGAAATTTAATAAAATGTAGTAAATTTTACTACCTTCAAGCATATTACAATGATTTGTAATTTAATATGTAGTCATTTGAGGTTATGATTTTTAATTAGAGAAATTAATACTTGAAATTATGAAATTTATTATAGTTATAATTACAATTTAATTTTAATTTTATTTAAAAAATGGCATATTTTCAATTCAGGTTGAAATTACGATAAAATACAGAAAAATTCGATTTCATTAAAATTAATGACATTTCCGCGGTTAAGAAGATCAGAAGTAACAAAAAAATTTTATTGTAAAATGTAGTTAAATTACTGCAAATCTGATAATTATGCAATAATAAAATTTTCTGCATTGAATGCAACAAAGCTGTGTATTCCTTTTAATTTTTCTAAATTCACTTTTTTTTTTGGAGCTTTTTCTTAAGAGTTCCCACGGTATTTGCACTTTTGTTTAAATTCTAATTTTATACCTTTAGGATGATTTTCGTTTCTCTTATTTTTCTATATTCATATACACACTATAGTTATAAATTTATCACTATACATACAGACATATATGTGTTTGTATATGTACAATGTATAAATTTCTACATTTTCGTTAATATTACTGTGGTTATTCATTATTTTATTTTATTTGTTTTGTTTTTAACAAAATGTCTTGTAACCATTATTAAAATTATTTTACCTTTTGTTTATAGTTTTCATTTTCTGTGAAAAAATAATATTGTAAAGAAAAATTCTCAAAGTTTATTTTTCAAAATGTGTTGTTGTAATAAATAATGATGATGGTTTATAATAATGTAAATAAATGCAGGGTGTTTACTGTACACATCATTAACATAATAATTATAATCTTCATATTAAATATATTGCGATAATAAGGGCGGCAAGTAAAAAAGTCTGAGAATAAAATTATATGCAAATTTTTATGTATAGAAATTGGTTTCTGAAATTTGCATGAAATGTTTACACGTTGTGTAAGCTTTTATTTTCTCACATGAAAATTATGAGTTAAAATATTGACAAATGAGAATTTATTTATTGATGCGAATGAAATAATGTAATTGTACTAAAACTGATAAAATATTTATTCTGACATTGTTGAAATGGTGCAATGTGAAGAAATAAATTCGGATCAAACTGAACCGGCACATTTTATTTGAGCAAATGAAAGCAAAATTATTGCATACTTTTAGGGTGAGAAAGGAAATTAAAATAAATAAAGTTGAGATTTTAGATAACGATCAATTTTAACGGTCATTTTGTATTTTTAAAGTTCAAATATGGTACACTGCGATTGAAGATGCTAGCCAATACTTTAGCTATACTTTTAAAATCGTATTTTTACGTGCGGATAGAGTATTTCACTCTTTAATAAATACTTTTTCCAAAAATTTTTTGAAAAACTGCTAACAATAACGTTGTCTGAATTAGGCCCTAACTGGGTCAGTTAAGCTAAACAATAACTTTTTTTTTGTATAAAAAGAGTTCTAAACAGCTGACTATTTTAGCAAATTGCTAAATTAATTTTAATTATTCAAAAATTAAATTTTAATAATTTCTGGATGTGACAAATTTTAACAGGGTCACATAGTTTATCGCCTTTAAATCTTAGCGACAGAATAATGTTTTTCCTCTAAGAAATGAACCGTTTAAAACAGTGAAAATGACTGATTTATGAAATTTCATTACTCTCACAAAAATGTCTTAACCAGTGAGGTTCAAATGTTTACAATATAAAATTTTCTCAGTGTTTTTTACAAAATTTTTGTTCGTTTTTTTCATCACACGAAACTTTTAATTGCAAATCACAATAAGATCTCCAAATTTATTTTTTGGTTTTTTTGTTTAGTCGGAAATAACCCTGTTAATAAAATTCTCAAGCTTTATTATATTGTTTCTTTTTTTTGTTTTCTTTATAATTTTGGGAAACTTCTTCATTTAATTTGTTATATTGCATTTTTTATTGTACATGCATTTTACAGTGTTGCGGTAATGCACCAGAAGCTGCAATAAACTAAGTTTTTACAATCAATATTGCTATTACATATTAAGAAATGTTCCTTATGTTTTTTGTTTTTTTTTTATTTTTTTGTTTGAAAAGTAGTCATTTTACATGTGAACATAATAATTTTATAATTGGAGGAAAAAATCTTGTGTTTGCACGTACATAAAAACATGAATTTTCTATTTATATATTTTTTGTGTTGAATTGATGAAATACTGTGAATGAAAAAAGTTTTTTTTGATAACTTGACATTTATAAAACAGTCGAGTTATAATCACTTGTTAATGGTTGCTTTAATTATTTAGGATTTTGAATTTCAAGAAAAGAAGGAGAAAAGTAACACCTGTTTGCGGCATGTTTATTTTATGCTTAAATGTTTGAAGTGACTGAGTAACCGGGCGAAAAGTTGGTCTCGGTGTTATACTTACAGATGGATTGTTTAAACGAAAAATGTTAAATGTTTATTTTATGCTTTTAAATGGGTTTGAGCCTACTTATATCAAATTCCTCATATTCACGTAAAATATTTTTCTATTAAAATTAACGCAGTGATCAGTATCAGTAACCCAGAAAAGAGAGATTTTAAGTGATTGAAGTTCTTATCCAATTTAATTGATTACGCTTACAAAATTAGTTACTTTTATGGAATGCAAAGAAGATTCGAAGAATCAGGAAAATAATTTTACTTATAGATGCTTCTCTCTTCAGTTTATCTGCATTTGGGTAAAAATGAAATACTCTCACTTATATCTCTTATAATTATGGAACAATCAACAAAAGAAAATAGTGATGAAGAAAATTCAATAGAAAAACGATACAAATATTCCATTACAGGAAACTTTTCTATAAATAACTTCGTTTTGTGCCAGAAAACTTTTTCTACATACGATAAATTAGAAATTTCTTTCTTTTGATTTTGTTATATTGATCAGTTGAAAATAAAATATAATATTACACTGCAGATATCAGTAGTCGTCTAAAATTTCCGTCATAAGAAAAATAATTTATATCGTAGAGTTCAAATTACTGAAGTTGAACTGTTTGCTTGTATTTAGATTCACTTTGTAAGTAGAAGCGTATATCAAATGATTGGAAATTTTCTAATATATTTGTATAGTTTTTGATGGAGTTGATCGTTAAGTAAAAACAAAATGAAAACAAAACGAAACTTCTTCCTTACATTTTAATTCCGTGATTAAATTTAAAATACCTTTATTTATTGTATGTAGCAACGTAATTTTATGGTATGATCAATATTTGTTTATGCGATATTAACATAGCCAACCCGCTCATTAATTATACATAATAATTTTTAAAATATAAAAATTTTAGTCATGTGTAAATATGAAATTACAGATAATTAATGAATTAAAGTATAAATAGTATGTAAAATGAATCGTACAACATTGCAATTTTAATATCTTTATATTTTTGTCTCTTGATTTTTCAGATTTTTCCGGTTTGTTTATGTTTACTATTATTACAAACGAGTATAATTGAAGCACGACGAATACGTACCCGTCCAAGACCAGTAGAACCAGTAGAAGAAATTGAAAGTGGTGAAATTGAATCGGAATCAGTTGAAGATAATCGTGCTCAGTCTGCTATACAATATTATCAAGCTGAATCTAGAGAAAATATACGCAATCAACCGTTAGCAGCAGATGATGATTATAATGGATATTATGGTCAACCAGCACCAGCTGCACCAATAGCTCCAATAAGAGCATCACCACGTGTTGATTATAGACCTCCTGCTCCAACACGTGCTCCAATACCACAAGCAAGAACGAAAGATGCATCACAAAACGCAAAGGCAGCACCAGTGCAAACAATCCGTAATTATAGTAAAGTGAATGATGATGGTTCATTTACATTTGGTTATGAAGCTGCTGATGGTTCATTTAAAGAAGAGACTCGTGGTACTGATTGTGTTGTACGTGGTAAATATGGATACATTGATCCGGATGGCAACAAACGTGAATTTACTTATGTTTCTGGAAATCCTTGTGATCCAAATAATCCAGATGCACAAGAAAGTGATGAAGAACGTAGCCAGTCATCAGAAGAGGATTCACGAGAGCCAGAAAATTTACCACAAAATTATCCAAGACGTCCTCCTGTACCTAGACCCGTCCAACACACAACTCCACATGCACCAACAACTGTCTTCCAAAATAATTACGCACAACATTCATTAAATCGGGGTGGAAGTGAAGAAGAAGAACCAGAACCAATTCAGGTATTACAACCGCAAAGACCAAATAGACCAAGTATTCAGAATTTTAATAATTATGTGCCACAAGAAATCACCATACGTCAAAGACCGAAAATTACTGTAAGTCCTACACCAGCTCCAAATTTTCGTTTAAACAATCCATCTGTAAGTATAACACCGAGACCAACTTATCGCCCGGTTACTCAGTCACTTCAACCACAACCACCAGCAACAACTTATCGACCAACTGTTATTAAAGCAAGTGAGCAACCGGCAACCTTAACATATTCAAAATCAACACCAAGACCAATTGGTTTTTCACAATCAACACCAAATGCTATACCAAGTGTTTCCAGACGACCAGTAGATTTTAATTCTGAACTACGTAAATTTCAAGAAAAGCATAATGTACCAATTACAACTTCAACCATTCGAACAACAACACAATATCGACCAGAGTCTGTAAAACCATTACAAAATATTCCAAGTCTTCCAGCTACCTCAACTCCACTTTATGAAACTCAATTAGTATACAATCCTGCTAGCGGACAATATGATTCATCAATTTTCCAAACAATTCCACACACTGATAGTGAATTTACGATAAATCAAAAAATTCAACCATTTGTTCAACAACCACAATTAGTTAGCTTGAATCAATTACAACAAATTAATCCAATTTATAGAGCACAGCCTGCTCCATTACCACAATTTTCACAACAAATTTATGAAAAAGAAAGGGAAAATCTTCAGGTTTTAAATTCACAACAGTTATTCCAGCAACAACAAGAACTACAGGTAATAATAATATTGTATAAGTGCAAATTTCATAATATTGTGGAATCGTTTTTAAGTGCAAATTTAAAATATTTTAATAAAAACCTAAATTGGCATAATTAATTTTATTAAAACCAGGTAACATTTTTTGCATGACTTTATTATGCACGCAAAATATTTGCAATGGAAATTTTTTATTAACGCTTTTAAATGCTTCATTAGTTGTGCAAGAAAATATAGAAATTTATTAATAAAAAAAACTGGTTTAGTTAAGTTTCATGAAAGCAGTGTCGTCTTTAATTTCGTAATCATCCAAATTTATATTATTATACTAAATAACTGGTCTATATTTGAAATTCATAAAACGTAAAGTTTATATTGCCAAAATTTATTTTAATTTCGTGTCTTTAATTAATTATTCAAGTAATTTTGAAAGTAATATGCTCAATATTTAAAAATGTGTTTTAATTAACACTTTCTTATAAGGCAAAACAAAAATTTAATTGAAGTATCAGAAAGACCAATCGCTTACTGTAAGACATTTACCATAGCAAAACAAGTCTTCATTCGATTATGCAACATTATCAATAAAAATTTAAGTTTAGACACGAACCGTCTTCGTTATTCAATTAAAAGGGTCTTTTTTATAATTTAGAAATGAAATCAAATAATTTTTACCTTAAACTAAATTAATTATTTTATTTTCTTTTTATTTTTATTTAAATAGAATCAACAATTACAAAAAGATAGAGTTGAAGCTGCAAGAAAAGCTGCCCAACAACATAGATTTAAAGCTGCACCATCGCCATTGCCACCACAACCACAACCGATCCCAGAACAACAAGGCTTTTATTATTTACAACCATCAGGACAACTGGAACCATACTTAGGAGCTCATAATATCAATATTTCCTATTAAATAAAAAAAATTAATACTCTAATAATGGGTTCAACTCTCATTATCCTGCCCCACATACCATAAAATATCTTATAATTGTATTATATTATAAATTGATTATTTTTCTCTGTGTAGTTATGTAAAGTCAAAATGAAGTCAGTCTTATTTTCTTTTTTTTTTTTAGTTTTTTTGTTTTTTAATTAATATTTTTATACACTGATAGAAAAGTGTAAGTATAAAGTAAGTTCTTTTTGCAGTGTTAGTGCAAAAAGTTTATTACAATTTATTTAGGATTTTCAATTCGTTTTTAATTTTTTATTTAATTTTTCTTTTTGTAATTTTATAATTTTTAATATTTAGATTATATTTTTTTTTTAAACGAAAAAGAAATAATAAATATTTTTGTAATAATTATTTAGACTTAAATTATTTTATAAGAATTTTGTGAGTTAAATTGTTAAAAATAAAAAAAATGAATTTGTAATGAAGAAAAAGAAGAAAATTGAAATTAATTTTTGTAATATAAAATTTATACAAAAAATAGTAAGAGTGTTTCATTTAGCATGATAATAAGACGGTTAAAACCGCCAGGCAATGCCAACTCCAGAAATTTGCTGCGATTTTATCTAGTTGGCATTTTACTTTTCTGCGATTTTATGAGACGAACATTAAGTGAGGCTTAGTACATGTGTTAACCGATCATAGGTTTTAAGTTGAAACTTTTTGGTCTGATGACAAGTTTCGCAATTTATAGGAATCGGTCCAAAAACTGTCAATGAACAGTCTACTAATGTTGAGATAAATTCTATATTTAAAAAGTCTGTAAAGAAATCCCAATAAAAGTGACTTACGAGCAGAGGGATTGAGTGAAAAATATGATATATTTATATATACATAGGCTTGCTTTTTATAATGTCAAAATTTTGCTAAATGACCTTGAATAGCTTCTAAAGCAAAAATTGAATTTGAATAAGAAAGAAATTTCAGAGAGAAAATTCATTCATAAGCCGGTAGTAATTAGTACTAATAAAATGTGGGTTCCATATGCTAATATTTTTGAAATTAACCATTCAACAAACAACGCCAAACGCAGTTCATATTTACAAAATTAAGCAAAGTAAAAGAAAACATGAAGTTCTACTTCAATACTTTCATATTAGTGTTACGTCACTAATATTTCGTAGCCACTCTCTTTAGTTTAGAAAGAGCGAAATATTTCGCGTCATTCACGCGAAATATTTTACACCGCCTGTCAATATCTATTTACGTTTGCCTATTCAATTGGACGCCATTCACTTATCGACACTATCAAAATTTTTAGTGCACTACTGGTTAAGGAATTGAGCGACTTTTCAATTAAAACTTACAATTAATCGAATTTAAACAAAACATAGTGAAGTAGCATAGTTTGAGAACAATTCGAATAAAAAAAATTTTTCTTCATGGGTTGAAATTACCCACTATATTCATCAATTTAATATGCAACCTTAATTATTTAATTTTCTTCCTGTTAATTTTGCCGGATTACATTAGAGTAACTCTGCTCTTGAAATAAATGCTTGTTCTCATGCTTAAATCTAACCAAAAGCTAATATAATTTTCTTAAATTAATTTAGTACATATGGGTTTAAGATTTTCTCTAGAATTTAGAAATATTGCAAATCTTAAAAAAGCAATGGCAAATAATGATCTAAACATAAGTAGATCGTATTGGTAGGCACCTACATAATATGTCAAAAGTGTAATTAGAAATTTGCAGTAATTATTTTAAATGTATGCAAATTGGGTGTCTTAATTTATGTAAATGGCGCCAATACATGAAAAAATTTTATTTCCCATGTAGATTTGACCTTCAATTTTATTATCAATTGATATAGTTTTAACAGCTTGTGAAGTTTTTTTAACTGGCTAATCATTAAAGTAAATAATTTTTTTGGAAAAATCTTAATTCGTTTGGCAAACACTAAATTTTGTAATGTGAATTACATAATAGTAAATTTGGATTAAAATGGAGCGGTAAACAATCGAAAAATTTTTAAATTGAAGAGCTCAAGTAAATATTTAAGTATTCAATAACTATAATATGTCCATTACAAGCAATGTAATGGAGTCATAATGGAAGGTAAACATTGCGCACATAATGTAGAAGTTTTAGTACACAAGATACAATAAAATAACTGTAACATAATGGCATAATAAAGTGTGAAAATGAATGCTCATTAAAAATATTTACTTGGTAAAGCTCTTTAAAAAAATAAGGAACTTAAATTATTGGTTTTTAAGTCATTTAAGTGTACGTAAAAATTGAAACTGTTGCAATATTAATTCAATTAACTATACTTAGTTAGTAACTATAACACTGTTGATGAAGATGTTTAACTGCAATTCCAAATTATCTCTGTTATAAGAATGAAATATTTCAAGATTTAAAAAAATGTAAATACTAATCGCCAGTTGAAATTTATTTTGTAATATTTGCCATTTTCACATTTTTGAAGTGAGGAAGTAATTTGTTTTTTGAAACCCTAATAGAGTTCTTACTTTCTAATGTATTGTTATGAGCAGGGCTGTCATTTGATTTTTGGATGGGGAGCAGAAATATTCGAAAAAGGGAGCCATTTTCACAAAAGTGGAGCCAGTTCCTTAATTTCATAAAAACACAATTTACAATATAGTTCAAATTTTCTTAATGTAAGTTTAAATAAGATCACAACTTGGTTACTAGCTTTCCGCATCAATATTTTTATATAATTCTTTTGAATTTAAAAATTTGTTTGCAATTTTAAAATAAAAGGAGCTATTTAATTTTGTTTTAATTAAAATAACAAAAGAAAATACACTCTCAGATGCCGCACAATGCGTTAAACTGAGGGAACTTTGAATAAATTTTTCATATTTTCAACAACAAACTCGATCGACTTCAATTAAAATGTCAATGCAATATTATCGTCTCTTAAAATAACTCCAGACAAACATATTTTATCTGCTGACGTTCACGAATATTGTTTTTGGGTCTGACTGAGGAAAAAAAAAATCGGAGCCAAAATGCAAAAGAAGGAACAGAGGACACAAATTTTCAAATCGGAACCAAATAGTTTCGATTGGACTCAAACGACAGCCCTGGTTATGGATACACATATTGTGAGAAATATTGTTTCTCTCATTATGAGCAAAATTGAATAATGTTTTCTTATTTAAAGCAGAATCAAAAGCTGTTAAATTTCTCTAAGCGTTAGAAGTCAAAAATGAGAATTTCAAAAAATCTGTTGTGTGTTTCATTAAAATTAAGCTCCATTTTTCCAAAATTGAAAAAAAAATATGGCATATTGTAAATGAACTCACATATTTGATGAAATTCATCAAATTATAAAATAAGGGTTTGAGATACACGTGCACATTTTCCTTGATTATCTTTATATGCATATGATTATAAATTTAAAGAGAAATTAAAGAAGTTCAACTGATATAAAATTTAATATAAAATATTGTTTAATCTGCAATTATTAATATTATATAACAATATTTCTCTAAAATTCGATTAATAATTTTAAATAATAAGAACTAATAAGAAACATAAAATTTAATATGAAATTGCACCTAAAAATTTTCAAATTATTTGTATTTTTTCCCCGTTACCATAATAACAAACTAAGTGGGTGTGAACTACAGAAATGAGTTCAACTGTGTGGTCATTTTAACAATTATAACATAAGAATACCACCCTCTCCATAATTAACAACAACATTAATTAATTTTTTTTTTTTTTTTTTTTTTTTGCGTTTGATTTCCACATAACATTGCGGAATTTGGCAGTTAAGTGTTCATAATTTTAATTAACTTTCACTATTTTAACAATTTATTTGTTTTATTTTTTCTCTTTGTATACTTATTATTAATTTGATATTTTGTTAGTTTTGGCTTTAGTTTTACTTTTGCATACATAGTGTAAAAGTATGTGACACAATAAGTTTCAATTTTTAATAAACCAATTGTTTATTAAATAAATTTTCATATTATGCATTGAATGCATTGAAATTAGGGTCTTTATGCAAAATGCATAATTTCGGTACTGCATGCACCGAATTGTACATGCCATCTTGCTAATTGAATAAAATTGATTCAGGTTAACACTGTTTCGAATTGATCAATGAAGCTTTAATTAAATTTTAAATTGTTCAATTAGTATGTAACACAATTTGCTAAGAGTTAAATAATTATTTATTGGTAATGGGGAAAGAACTGCAACTAAAAAACCGGAAAAGACATTAAATATCATGTTTGAATATTGTGGTTTTTTCCTGAAATTTATGTTTGTAAGCTAAAAGAAAAGTAATCCAAGTCAGGCTTACTCGTAAGTACTCTTACTGTTGGCAAAATTTCAAATTATTTTGGGAAAATTGCATTAAAACAGTGGAAACATCTTTATGATTTAAATTTGAAATTATGCTAATACAAGAATACAGGAAAGAAACATTTTGAATGAAGTTATTTTAACAGCTTTAATTGATAAAATAATTTTAGATGTAAAATAAATTTGCTATTAAGAATTTCCGCATTGGTCGTCCGTATTGCGTTTGCAGTAGATTTTTATGGTTATGCACCAATACTTAAACAATTTACTTCTAAAATTACAGGATGACGGTATCTCTGAAAGAAGAACAATAGAAGAAAAATATAGAGTCCCTTCAAAACACTTTAAAAAGATTGCATTTTATGGACGATTAAAGATTAAGATGCACATTACAGTAAAGCGAAACGAATACAAGAACAAATTTATTTTATTTTTGAGGGTCACTTCTAAACGGGATTAGAAAATGAGGGTGAGTATTTGTCTGAAATCATCTTTAGGCATACTGAAAAAAACATAGCTTTCTTGCGATCTGGAAATAGTGGGAATAATAAACTTCTTGAGAACGGTTTGAAAGAACAGTTGTAGAATAGCTGACTTTAACAATTTTAAGCAGTTGATCAGCATCTTTCTAACAATTTTAAGCAAGATCAGTTTATCTATAAGCATGCGTTTTCTACTTGTAAATAGCTTTTGTAATTTACTCACCTTTCTAAGAGATGCCAAATGCGTGCTACTGGCACATATTTAGAGCAAGACCAATTAGATTGATTGTAGATTGTAGATTCCAAGGGAACCGAGTGGGACAGGGATAACCCCCCAAGCCACCACAGTCATTTTTGACTTATTGTAGCCTCCCCACGCCCCCGTCTATAATATCCCCGTCCCAACCACGAAGCCGGAGATATTCCTAAGGGAGTTGGACAACAGTTCCCGAACACTTAGGGACCCATTCCCAAGACAATTGCGGCGCCGAACAGCCAGTGCCTGACAGTCGTAGACTGTCTTCCACCGTAGTACCTTCTTCCACCGTAGGGCAAGCCTGGCCCTCACGGTGGAAGAAGGCAGACCGCAAAAAGGCAGCGGCTACACAAACCCAGCCCCACATCCCCTCCGCG